ACACACACACACACACACACACACACACACACACACACACACACATCACATACACATCACATATCTCAGGCTCAGCTCTCCTTCCCCTGCCCAGCCCTGGAAATGTGGGAGAGGATGTGGAGTCAGGGTCAGGGATGGGTAAAAGGTCAAAAGCCTCCCTCACTATCCCCCAACACTGGCTCCCTTAGCCCCTGGGAATCAGAATTCATAGGTCACGAGTTCAAAGGGACACCCACTACCAAATACCACACCTCTACACCAGGCCTGGGGCACAGATTATCATCAACATTTAACAGAAGAAGGGACTTCCCTGGTGGTCCAGTGGTAAAGAACCCGCCTTCCAATGCAGGGGACACGGGTTCGATCCTTGGTCAGGGAGCTAAGATCCCACATGCCGTGAGGCATCTAAGCCCCCGTGCCGCAACTACTGAGCTCGCGTGCCTCAACAAGAGGGCCTGCGTGCCGCAAACTACAGAGCCCAGCACTCTGGAACCTGTGCGCCACAACTAGAGAGAAGCCCGCACGCCACAATAAAGAGCCCGCGCCACAACAAAAGATCCCGCAAGCTTCAATGAAGACCCCACGTGCAGCAGCTAAGACCCGACACAGCCAAAAACATAAAGAAAATAAATAAATAAATAATTTTTTAAAAAACCATTTCACAGGAGAGGAAACTGAGGATCAGGGAGGCAGAGCAGCACAGGACGATGATTTCGAAGAATATTCTTAGTGGTATCATTCGTAACAGCCCAAACTGGAAAAACCCCAAATGTTCAATAGTAGAGGAGATACACAAACCGGGGTGGACTAAAATATTATACGGCAACGGAAGTGAATGAACAATTGCTCCACATAACAGAATGTAAGAATGAAAGAAGCAAGAAGTAAAATCACATATACAACACAATTCCATTCATAGGAGGTTCAGAAACAGGCAACAAGAAACGCACATGGTTTTGGGATGCATGCATAGGTGGTAAAGCTATCAAGAAAAACAAGGTCAGGAATTCCCTGGTGGTCCAGTGGTTAGGATTCTGAGCTTTCACTGCAGGGAGCACGGGTTTGGGGAACTAAGATCCCACATGCCGTGCGGTATGGCCAAAATAAATGAATAAATAAATAAAAGTTTTTAAAAAGAAAGAAAGAAAGGCAAGGTCATCATCCTTAGGAATGTTATGACATTGTTTGCCTCTGATGAGGACGGAGTTATGCTCTAAGGTGCTGGGAGCTTGGGGGGCTGGCAGTGTTCTATTTCTTGACCTGAGTGGTAGTTACACAGGCGTTTTCTAATTTTTTTTAACTGTACATATGTTTTATAGACTTTTCTATATGTATGTCACCAGTTATGTTTTTTAAAATAAAATAGGGACTTCCCTGGTGGTCCCGTGGTTAAGACTCGGTGCTTCCACTGCAGGGGGCACGGGTTTGATCCCTGGTCAGGGAACTAAGATCCCACATGTGTGCAGCACGATCAAAAAAATAAAATAAAATAAAATAAGCAGGGGAAGAGTAAAGCACGAGCTCTGAAGTTCGGCAGACCTGAGAGACTCCACTCTGCTGCTTTCACTGTGCAACTGGGAAAGGATTTAACCCCCAGACTCAGTTTCCTCATTTATCAAATGAAGAGGGAGTGCCCAGCCCCCAGCACTGCTGGGAGTTCTCAGCGAGGCCAGCCCTGGGAAGGCTGACCAGGCCATTCCCCTGACCCCCCGAGTCTCAAGCACCTTGATGGTCTCTGGGCTCACGTGGCTGTGGGTCTCCTTGAGGCGGGAGATGGAGCTGTGGCTCAGGCCCCCGACCACCGCCATCAGCGTGTTGAAATTCTGCAGCTCCAGGAGTTTCTGGGGAATAAATGGAGAGAGATGAGGCAGTGAGTCACTGAGTGGGCCCAGAACTTGGCCCAGCTTTTCTGGAGAAGACCTGGCAGTGGGTTAGGGGAAAGGAGGGACTCAGCCCTACTGGCAATTTGGGAGGTTGGGGGAAAGGGGAGGGGCAGGCACCTCTGCAACGTGGACGAAGTGTGTGATGACCAGGGCCCGCTGCGGGGCTGTGGGCTTGCTGAGAATCATGAGTTGCACCCACTGCGAGACACTGTTGAAGAGGGAGATGAATCGCTCCAGGACAGGGTTGTCCACGGTGCAGCCGTGAGTCACGAAACTGTGATAGTCCTGGAACTGCAGGCAGAGTGGCCTCAGCACCCTGGGGCCCCTCCCCTCCCCAATGGCCGCTCCTCACCCTCCAGCGGCCCTTTGGTGGTTACATTGAAATCCCAGACCCACCCTGTGACCCCACCTACCCCAAAGACCCTGCCCCTCCTGGCACCCCCTCCCCAGCCCACACCCGCTCCCTGACTGAAGGCCATTGGGCCGCACCAGGATCTTGCAAAAGGAGCAATATTCCAAGTAGGTGAGATGTGCTGCCAGCTCCATGGGGTCCAGGTGGTCAAACAACAGGGACATCTTGCGCTTTTTCTGCTCCACAGGGTTCCTCTGGGTCACCTGCCGATTCCACTTGTAGGTGGGGCTGGGGGAGTGGGGCGGGGCAGTGAGTCCTTTGCTGGGGATGCCCCACCCCTCATGGCCCTACACTCATGCCACTCACGCGCTGACCGCGAGACACTGTGCAGAGCACGAATGTCCCCAGTCCCAGCACCTCCTGCAATCTCCCCCTCATCACGCACTCAACACAGGTTTATGGAAGACCTACTCTGTGCCAGGCACTGTGCTAGGCGCTGGGGGTACAGAGATGAGCAAGACACGGTTCCTGCCCCCGAGGAGCTCACAGTCTACTGAGGGAGACAGACACAGAAACAAACAATCACGAAATAGCGTGGCACAAGTGCAGAGGTCTTTGGGCAGAGGTCTGCACAAAGTGTCATGGAGGAACAGAGGCAGGAACGACAAATTCTGCCCTGAAAGAGTCCACAGACACTCCACACTTGTGCTAAGTTTTGATAACACGGAGGAGGAGGCAAGGGGACATGAGCAAAGCGCCATGGTGGGAAAGGATGCAGGGGCTGCAGAATGGTGAGTGGACCCGTGCAGCTGCAGTATGAGGTGCCTGGTATGGGGTGGTGGGCTGTGAAAGATGAGGCAGGGATGCCAAGCTGGCCTGAGACTATGAAAGGCCTTAATCCCCAGCCAAGGCATTTTGAAGACGATAGGAAGCCATAGAAAGTTTTTAAGCAAGAGCGACATGACCCTCACCCATTCAATTCAACAAACATTTATTAAGTGCAGATGGTGTAGGATGCTGAGTGCCCTGCCCAGCCCTCCGAGCTCCCCCCACGCACACGCTCTCGATGTCGATGAGGCTGCTGTGCCGGCGGTTCCCTTCTTGGTCTAGCAGAGCCTTCAGCTCCTTGATCTGCTCAGCGAGCTCAGGATTCAAATCAAACTCTGCTGGGAATGCTGAGATCCAGTACCTGGTGGAGGTTCAGAGTCACCCAAGGCAGCCCTTCCCCCACCATCCCCTAGGACTGTAGTTCCCCAGAGAGGGGGAAAGAGCCTCGAACTGTGGTTCCCCTTGCCCAGCTCTTTCCTTCCCTACCCGCACTGGGCAGATCAGAAAACAGGGACCGGGCCAGGACCAGGAAGGGGCAAGCCTGCGGCAGCACAACCACCATGGACAGAGCCGGGTTCAAACCCACATGACCAGCTTCCAGAACGAGCTATTTCCACTCTTTCAGACCCGTCTTGAAGCCTGAGATAAGGGAGCAGAGGAGGGGACAGAGCCCCAAGAGGAAGACTCACCTGACCAGATGGCATGTTTTCACCTGAAGTGAACTGGAGTTGTCCTTCCGGGATTGTTGGTAGGTGAAGTGGAGTTAAGGAAAACAAGGATGGAGACTCACTCTAGAAAAGGAGGTGGGGGATGGGACCCGAGCTCTTGGGGGAGGCTGAGGGCAGGGCCTGGTTCTAGGAGAAATTCTAGGGGTGGGGTCTGGGGCGGGCAGGGCCTGAGCTCTGGAAAGGGGCTGAAAGCAGAGGTGAGGTGTGAGCTTTGGGAGGGTGCCTGGATGGAATGGGGGCCAGATTCTGGGAGAGGCTGAGAGCAGGACCTGGGTTCTGGGAGAGAAGCAAGAGGCAGGACCTGCGCTGGGAGTAGGAACAGGTCCTAGGCTGTGGGGAGGAGAGAGCAAGGCCTAGGCTGGGGAGAGACCCGGGGACGGGGCCTTAGTTCTAAGGGGAGGAAAGGGGTGGAGCTTAGGCCCTAGCTGCTGCCTGGGCCAATCCTGAATTCTGTGATGTGGGAGTGGCCCACGCTCTAGGAGTGAAGCCCATCCTCTGCCCCCGCTGGGCAGCGGGGCTCCCTTATGGATGCGGACTGCAGGGCCCTTGGCGAGGCCGGCGAAGGATATATGTACAGCAGTTTTGCCGCCAGCTGAGAGGAAGGGATGTACCAGGGGTGCATCATGAGGAACATGCGCACCAGCTGCGGGTCCCGCACCTTCCCGGAGTCATCTAACTCCGAGGGGTCAAGGAGAAGCGGGTTGACCCTACGTCCCGCAGCTTCGGTCCCTAAACCCTACCCCGCAGCCTGCCGGGTTTCTGGCTCCCAGATGCCTCCGGCTTTCCCAGGGCTCCGAAACCAGGAGGCAGATTATAAAGTAAAGGTAGGGTGGAAGAGGCATAAGGCAGGATCCGAGGAACTAGAGGAGAGGAGCGTCTGAGTCGGGCCTGTAGTCTGGAGGGGAACCAGCTGGGGCGGAAGGAGACGGGTTCCGCGGGGTCAAGAATCCAGAGGTCATTTCCTGAGTGCCTGGGGAAGCGGCACCCCTTCACCAGATAAGCCACCCCCCATCAGCCGGAAACAGCTTCCAGGCCGCAATAGCGAGTTCCTCCGGATCCCCCGGGGAGACAGATAACGGTCCTCGTGGGTCAGAGTCTGGGGACCCCGCCGTCCCTCCCTTCAACGCTGGTATACTAGGGAAGGGAAACCTTTTCTCTTTCTGCACCGTGTGGATCTCTCTACCCCGGGATGAAGAGGAGACTTTCGCCAAAGAGGCTGCAGGATGCGAGTTGGGCAGAGGTCTGCCCTGGGAGGCAGGGGTCAGGGTTCAGGCTCCCGGCTGGTCTCAGGCTGGGCGTGTCCTCCCGTGCCACTCACCGAAGGCTTCAACGCAACCACGGAGCAGCTCCTCCACCGTGCAGCCCTTGTCCAGGTCCAGGGTGCCCGCCATGGCCTCCGGCGCGTGTAGGCTGCGCCAAGCTGCGCTCCGAGAGCCTCCCCGGGGCTCGGACCTGACCCCTGTCCCGGGAGATACAGAGCCGGAGTCTGCGGAGGCGCGAGCCAGGGGAGCGGCCCCGCGGACAGAAATGGGGCGGGGCAGGCACGCCCCCTGCTGGGCAGGGGCGGAGTCGTCCGCCGCGGCCACTCCTGGGGTTAACTGGCCCGGGATGTTGCAACCCACCAGTTGGGAAACGAACTGACCAAGAAGCTTCCGGCCCACCCTTGGAGTCGTGGGAGGGCTGAGGGACTCCCCGGGGATGGGGACGAGCCAGAACTCGGCGGGGGGGGGGGGGGGGGGGGGGGGGGGGGGGGCCCGGGGGGGGGGGGGGAGCCTGCGGCGGCAGAGGCCGGCATGACGTTGCACCAGCCTGAGG